AGTCACGGATGTGTACCACTGCACTACATCAGACACCAGTGGCTTACAAACTCATCACTTTCCAGTACTGCTCATTGAGCACCCACGAGCCAGGCCTTGCGCTGAGAGCTGGAGTCTCTGGGGTGAACGTAACGGACCCCTGTTCTGCTATGATGCTCCTGCAGGACAGATGGAGGGAAGATGCTACGACACCAGGGCAGCACCACAGGTACAGCTTCCCACAGGATGGTGCGTCCGGCAGGCCTATGAGGATGGAGCATCTCAATGAAACTCCAACAGGGTAACGGGATGGTCCACACGAGGTCCTGGGCAAGGGAGCTCTGGAGGAAGAGCAGCCATCGCAGAGGACGAAGCAGGGCTATAGGGACACATCTGAATCAACGGGAAGCCAGTATGGGTGGGTGAGGACCAGGAATGCAGTACAAGAGGGATTAGGTACTGGGGGCTTAATGAAGATTCCCAGACTCAGGCAGGGGGTACATGTGCAAATAAATACAGGGACTCCATGAAGTCAGGCATGACATGTCTCTTTTCAGTGATGGAAACTACCTGGCCGCTGTCCTCTCTTCAAGGATGTGGGCAATAAAGTCTGGTGTGGGCGTGGCTTCACAGTTGTGGTTACTCAAACTATGTATATAGTCACTGGGACTTGAACACGACCTGCTGCCTGATCGTGTTAGATCGTGGGCTAGTGCAGAAAGACATGCCATTCCATAGAACAGTGGCATTAAAATATTTCCAGAGCTATCCTTGAAAATGACTGGTTTCCTGTCTGCTCTAATAAGCTCAGTGTGGTACATCATTCAGCTGAAAACCCTCTGCTGAGAAGGGTTCATGGGCTTTCTGTAACTTCCTCCTCCTGACTTTCTACCAGGTTAGAACCCCTTAGGGCCATTGTGAGGATGCTGGGTCTCTCTGTAGGGAGTAGGGTGCTATTGTGGGTGTTGGAGCAGGATGTGCTGAGCATGCAGCAGGAGGGTTGGTAGGGAGTGTCCAGGAGTTTGAAAGGCGAGGGGGTCAGTTGCCCCTTATAGTTCTTGCCTGGTGTTAGAACTGGTTTTTGCTAGACCTAAGACTTTTAAACCTTGGGAGCTGAAGGCTGGAATATAGGCTTTTTTAAAAATCTTTGTTGTAATTTTTTTTGGTCTTTTAAAAAGTTTTTGGCACTACAAGATTCTGTAAAGAATAGAAGTGACAAATTTCTGAGACAAGGTTTCACTGTGTAGCTCTGGCTGTCCTAAAACTCACTCTGTAGACCAGGCTGGCCTCGAGCTCACGGAGATCTGCCTGCCTCTGTCTCCTGACTGCTGGGATTAAAGACACGTGCCACTACTGCCTGGCGATACGGGTTTGTTATGGGTGCAGACAGGACAGTGGCAGGGCCCACGAGGATGGAGAGGAGGAATCTTGAATCACGTATGTTGTAGGGGGCCAGGATGGCTTGAGATGCACTTTTCATAGAAATAGCAAAACCATCACCAGGCCACTCTCTTACATCCTTTCTCCTGTGCCAGGTGCGATCCTGAGAGACTTTTGTGGACTAAACCTCATGCTTCCTACAGATACTCAGGGATGTGTTACTAGTACCCATGAATACCCCAGCACTGTCCATATACGAACTTTACAAAAGGAAACAAGCTCAGATACTATGAGAGACCTGGCAAAGCTACTCAGTAGCAAGTAGCTTAGCTCTTAAAACAGAAAAAAGGGCAGGTATAAGGACAGCGTGTTTTGTGTGCACATGCGTGTGCGTGTGTATGTGTGTGTGTGTGTGTGTGTGTGTGTGTGTGTAGAAGGCAGAGGCTACTGAGGAGGGAAAAGCTGTTCTTTCTACATGGGAAAGGAGGGATCCTGGCAGGTTGTGGTTTCTATTTTTTTTTCCTATTGAGGAAACTGAGGACCAGAGAGGACCAAGAACATTTCCAGTTAGTGAAACTGTGGTCCTCTGACTCCCTGATTTTTTGCCCCCCTCAGCCTCCCTCCTGTTTTGAAAGGCAGAGGAAGCTGGAGAAGGAACATCCTTAGGAGACATGCTCACATTCCCCATATGTAGTCACAGCTTCTCCCAAGCCCCTTGGCCTCCAACCATCATTCATGCTGGTGCCTGAATATTCTCTGTCAGCATGCAGCTGTGTAAGGCAGGCGCTCCATGTGTGACCATGCATAACAGCTTTCAGTCCTCACAGCCTCATACAGAGGTGCTATTGCTGCCCATAAAAGGCCAAACAAATTGAAACCTAGAAAGTTTATGATACCCACAAGGCCATGTGGCTGAGAGGCACAAGGACCTTGAATCTGGCATGGCAGATTCAAGCATCCTTGGCACATGCTTTCTAGGTGATGCTCAGAAGCCCATGCGCTGCCCCCTTTCAATGACTTTTACCTCCAGTTTACCAAATGTCTAACTGAGATAGCAGAGGCAAAGTAATGCATACTTATTATCCTGCTAGTCATGGGCAGTTCAACTGCCTGGCCCAGAGTCTATGCTTCGGGGTCTTACATGGTCTTGCTGCCCTTGGCATTTGCTACAGTCCCCAGTGCCCACAGGGGTTGCCATCACTCTTTGAAGTAGGCCATTTCTATAAGTAACAGCTTGGTACCCCCAAAGACAGCTTTCCCAGAGGCACCTGTGGGGAGAGTCTGTTGCAGGCATGGCCTCAGAGCCAAAAGGCCAACGGGATGCTCCTGCTGAGTTCCTACTGCACACCGGACCCTTAACAGACACTTGTGTTCTGGAAATCCTTCAGGAAATCTACAAGGGCTAGGGAGAGGGTCCTGCTTGCAGGTGAGGGTGTTAGATCACAGTCAGGGGAAGTGACTTGCCCAGAGTCACTTAGTGGGTGAGTGGCTGAGAGATGAACCAGCCATATGACTGCTGAGCCCATCCTCTTCCCGTGTGCTGCTTTCAGGCTGCTATGCCTCTACCCTGGTAAAGAAGGGGGATGCCTAGGCTAGCTTGAAAGACACTTAGCCTAAAGGAATGCTGATGTGAGCAGTCCCTTCCCTAATTCCAGCCCACCTATGCCCTGTGCTCAGTCCCAAATAATGGGGGAAGAGCAGGAAACCCTCTCAAGGAGCAGAAGGGGGGATGCCTCTCCCTGCCCCACATTGTCCCAGTCATCGAGGCCTGCTTCCTAAAGGTCTGGCTTGGGGAGGTTCTGGGATCTGGAGGTCAGTCTGACCTGTCTCCAAATCCCCAGTGCCGTCTACAACCCAGGACATGCTCAGCAAGCAAGTAGGTGCTTGGTAAGCACATGCAAAATGCATGGACAGGTCTCGGAATGACCTTGGCTAACTTTGACTTTTCTTTATCTAGTATTATTTTATTTTTCTTCAATTGCCCAGAGCCTCATGCCTGCTAAGCACAAGCCCTGCCATGGAGCTGCCCCCCATCTCATTTCCTCACACTTTAATGAATCCTCACAGCCTTATTATTAGACCCTTCATCCCTCCCAAGACAGCAGCATCAACACTGTGCACAGTCTTACTTCATCTTCACAGTAGCCCTCTGCAGAAGCGGCCACACGCATCCCATTTTACAGATTAGAACACTGAGTATTTGGAGAGGCAAACGGGGGCATCCAAAGTCCATGGTGGGCCAGTGAAGAATTCTCTCTAGACTCTGCCTGACCTCAGACTCTAAACTGAGTGACCAAACAGTGATGGTTGGACCAACCCTTCTCAGCATCACCTCTGTGGGCCTCTATACCAACCAAGCCATTGGGGGCAGAATCAAGCAGGCTGTGTCTTACCAGGATCACGAAATGACTTCAAGGCTCAGTGGGGTGTGAGTAGAGCCAGCCTGGAATACTGTTGTGTCACCCCTTAAACAGCCCTTCCAGCAACTCTACCGAGTGGCTAAAGTTCCTGGTGGCTATCATTGCCGCTATCACTATCCCATTTTCCAGTTTATAAAACTGAGTCTGGGCCAAAACACAAATCCAAGTCTGGTTTCCAAAGCACTTATCTTCATCAACCTCCCAACCCCATGTGTAAAATAAATGTATGGAATGAGAGGACGCGAAAGAACTGGGCAGCCAAATTACAACTCTGCCTTGGCCCTCGCGGGACCCTGCTGTGGGCTCTGGCCATGGTGCTGAACCCACAGGCTACAGGCTGTTCTGCTACTCGGAGAGACTGAGTCCCTGGGAGGCAGCTGGGGCGCCGTGTCTGGTCTCACTCCCACTAAGCGGGAAACCCAATGATAGCACTAGGGTGTACTTTCAACTGCTCCGACCTCAGCAAGTCGGGAAAGGGTCGAAGGGACCAGAGTCAGTCTGTGCCTTTAAGAGCAAAACACAGATCTGATGGGCAAGCCAGCTGCTCTGAGATGGATTAACTCCTTCCTTCTCAGCTCAAGAGAAAAGGGTGACGTCTAGGGACAGACTTTCTAAGCCCCAGATTGAAGAAGACCCCCGCCAGAACCGAGGACCTGGGAGCCATGCGCTGGGGGCTCACGGCGTCTGGAACAGCGGGTGGGAGGGAAGGCTGGCCCAAAGTGAGGCTTCCACGGTTCAGCCCCATCAGGCGGTCTGCCGGCAGGGCCGGTCTGTCCCCGGCCTTTGTCTCTGTTTAGGTGTCCCCAGGAGGGAATGAGGCCTAAGGAGATGCTCCTGGAATTGGGGCTGGACTCTGCTGCCGGGCAGGACAGTCCCCCGTGCCACCTGCCCCTCGCGGCGGTCCCCTCCCAGCCTCCAGTCCGCACCCTGCGCCCCCTCTACCTTCTGCGAACTGAAGGACTGGGTCCAGTGGTACAGAACCAGGCTCTCCTTGGGCCAATGGGCGGGGCTGGCCGCCTCGGGCGCGTCGGGGGCCTCCACCGGCTTGGCTGCATCGCTTTCCAGCGCCGAGATGGGCCACCAGCTGCAGTTGGTGGGGGTCAGGTTGTTGGGGGTCGCCATGACAGCCCGCGATCGGAGGAGGAAGGAGGCGGCTCGGCGGCGGCTCGCTGGCGCCCAGCATCACATGGCCTCACCGAGCCTGCCCCTCTCCCTCCTCCCCCTCCCCGCGATGTCATTACTCACTGGGTGCAGGGGGAGGGGCAAGGGGATCCCGGGGCTCTTTCCTCCTCCTCTCAGCTGTAGGTCCTCCCCGAGGGCCCCAGGGAGCGAAGGATGCTGGAAACAGAGGCGAGTGGGCCGTACCCCCAGAGTACTCAGCTGGGCAGTCACCTGCCAAAGACCCTACCATCTTAACACATTTGTGCCTCTCAATCTTACGAAAGCACCTCTTAGTTTAGATAAATGGCAATATAGAGGCCCATTTAACCCTTTTCACAAGTAGTATTTGGAGATAGCTCTATTTGAAACTGCCGTTTTCTGACTTACCCCTCCTAAAGGGCTTCCAACAGCAGAAGGGATAAACTACAATCTATTAACCACATGGTTGCTTATTCTCTACCCAGATACCGCACTAAGGGTTTTAACCGTTGTCCAACCTTTTGGCCTGTTTTACAGAGGAAGAAAGGAAGGCTCCGAGGAGAAGTGACCTTGCTCAAGGTGATTGAGCTGTTAACTGGGGGAGCGATTCAAACTCAGGCTGGCTGTATGCAGGACGGGACCAGCTGGTGATTTAGCAGCCCTGCAAGCAGCAACTCAAGCCTGTTAAAGAATCATGTTTCTCAGCTATGTGGACGTGATGAGAAGGGAGAGGTGCCATTAGTGTCATCCTAGGTCACACCTTTACCCCAGGAGATTGAGCCAGGTAGGAGTCTACCTTGTGCTTCTTTTGTGGGCATCTTGAATGTTATTTGGAACTCTCTATAAAGTTTCTTAGTGCACCCATGCTTCTCTTGGTGAATCTTTTTTTAAAGATGTATTTATTTATTTACTTTTATGTGCATGAGTGTTTTTGTCTGTGTATATATGTCTGTGTACTATATGCATGCCTGGTACCATTTGTACTATATGACACCAGAATGGGGTATCAGATCCCCTAGAACTGGAGTTACAGATGTGAGCTACCATGTGGTTTTGAACACCAGTCCTCTGGAAGAATAGCCAGTGCTCTTAACTGCTGAGCCATCTCTTCAGTCCCAGAATGCTTTGTCTGAATTTACCTTTGAGAAGTGGACCCTAAGACAGTAGATGAAAATACAGTTGCTGGCCCCTAAAGGAGGAGAAATTCCCAGAAATATATTCTTGGGCAATGCCTGCAAATATCACAGAGTGAACTTACATAAACTAGTTTTACTGAGAACCACTGTCTCTTGAGTCCCATCGTCGGACCCTGCTCTTATGAGTTGATATAACTAGGAGAGTAGGACTCTCAGTTTGCTACTTTGGACTCCTGGGTACACCACCTCACTGTGCGGCTTCAATTTTTCCCTTTTTGCCATGACTGCCAGGAAGCCTGGAGCTGCTTTTCCTAAGTCTCATTGTCACACTAGCCTCCCTGTTCTGAAAATTCTTTGGTACGTTCTATGATTTTCGTCTTCTTCTTTCTCTTTGGAGTGCCTTGTTCACAGTTTGGTTTTGCAAAGAAAGATTACTAGTCAGAGTTCTCTAGAGGGACAGAACTGACAGAATGAATATATGTCTCAAAGGGGTTTTTGTTAGATTCCTGTACCTGGACAGGCCGAATAGTCTGGTATGCTGGAGAGACCAGGAGCCCAGACGCAGCTTAATCTGTGAGGCTGGATGTTTTAGCAATTCTGACTTGGTGATGAGGGCCTGAAGGACTTCTGGAGAACCACTGGTCTTTATGTTAGAAGGCCAAAGAAGCTGGGTTCTGATACCAGTGAAGGGTGGGGCGGCGGCGGCAGCGGAAGCAGCAGAGTGGATGCACTTTCCAGTAGGGCACAAAGACAGACAGAGGAAAAGCAGCATTTCCTTTCCTTTAGATCTCTTTATTCTGGACCATCAACAGAAGGTACCCATGGTAGGGGAGGGGGGCAGTCTCTCTCCTTCAGTTAGTCCTTCTAGGAAATACTCTCTGTACTAGTCAGGGTTACTGTTGCTATAATAAAACACCATGACTAAAAGTAACTTGGGGGAAGAAAAGATTCATTGGAGTACATATCCTGAATTGTAGTTCATGGAGGGAGGCCAAGAAAGGAATTCAGACCAGGAACATGGAGGCAGGAGCTGATGCAGAGGCCATGGAGGATGCTGCTTAATAGTTTTCACCCCATGACTTGCTCAGTTTGTTTTCTTATAAAACTCTGTACAGCTAGCCCAGGGGTGGCCCTACCCACAGTGGGCTGGGTTCTCCCATTAAGAAAATTCCCTACAGACCTATCTTAAGGAAATGCTTTCTCAGTTGAAGATCCCCCTCCTCTGAGATAACGATAGCCGTGTCAAGTTGACATCAAACCAGCCAGCACACCCGTGCAGATACAACCAGAAGCTTGTCTCTTAGTTGATCGCAGACTCAATCAAACTGACAATCAAAACTGGTGTGTCTTGTGGAGAAGTATTAAATTGTTGTGAATTTAAGGAAACATAGCCCTAGATGTTTATAAAAGATAGAAAATCTGCCGGGTGGTGGTGGCACACGCCTTTAATCCCAGCACTCAGGAGGCAGAGGTAGGCAGATCTCTGTGAGTTCGAGGCCAGCCTGGTCTACAAGAGCTAGTTCCAGGTCAGGCTCCAAAGCCACAGAGAAACCCTGTCTCAAAAAACAAAACAAAACAAAACAAAACAAAACAGTCAAAAACAACAACAATAAAAAGATAGAAAATCTGTCTTGTTATAGTGAGTCTGACTCTATCCAGAGAACCTGGAGCACAACAGTCACATTCAGATGTGTCCAGTCCCTCAGCTAATGAGTGGTCCATGTGTGTCAGGAACCGTACTTGGTCCCAGAGACTCCGTGACAGAGCAGACCCTGGCTTGCTTTGGGATCGTTCTCTAGGCAGTTCATCTGGAGTCCCAGTAGCACAGAGCATCTAACCCGTGCTTCCCAACACTGTCTTTGTGTGGACAGACCACGACATTGCACTTTGCATCTGTGGATGGATGCATGTGCTGCTCCAAGTTCTTCATTATAAAAGAGAAAATCATGGAGCCTTCTTCATATGGGCATGGAAATCACAACATCATCTACATGGTAAGTTCCAGAAACAGCCTGTGAGATCAAAGAATACACCTTTAACAAAGCCCCCAAGTGCTCTCCCGACTCATGACCTACCAGAGTGGGTATCCTCCTGCATCCTGGACACACAGAAGGCTTATGTGTATTCCATTGCATCCTGAGCCCTGTCTTTGGACCAGGTTCTATGTTTGAATGTAACTAGAAGGACCCACTGCCCAGTTTGCTCCTAGGGATCCCTCTCTTTCTATGGGAACCTATAGGTAAAAAAAATAAAGCCATACTTTTAACATTTGGCTTTACTCATTTTGTTTTCACTTTTCAAACATACAAAGAAAGGAAGGAAGGAAGGAAGAAAGGAAGGAAGAAAACAGTTCAGTGGACATTTGTATATCTTTCACTAGACACCATTGTCATTAAAACCTGGTAGCTCTGCTATTCTTGTTTAACTGAGAGCAGGAGTACTTGGACTAAATTATAGATATTGTATTTCTCAAATGAAATACTTCAGTGTGAGAGATTGTGGTAGTTTGAATGTAATTGGTCCCCATAATTTCATAGGGAGTGGCACTATTAGGAGGTGTGGACTTGTTGGTGGAAATGTATCACTGTGGGGGTGGGTTTTGAGGTTTTCTGTAGAAGTTAGCTCAATTTGGGAAATAACCAGGCTAGCTAAAAGATAAAGCAATTATATTTTTATTTATTATAAGGGAAAAAACTCACAAAACAGGAACGAGAAGTCCAAGCTCAGCTGTGCTGCAAGGGAACCACAGAGAAAGAGAGCATCTGGGCCGTATGCCCATTTTCCTCCGGGTCCCAGAAAGCCGCACCCTAACTTGGTCCCACCTCTTAAAGATAATTGGTTATCAAAGCTTCCCCATCAGTTTCCTATGCTCATGACACCACCCAGTGTTTCAGTTGACTTCCTGTTGCCTGCAAGATGAACAACTCCCAGCTACTCCTTCAGCACCATCTCTGCCAGCACACTGCCATGCTCCCCACCTTCACATCGATAAAAAGACCTAAAGCTAAGAAGTTGGTACCAGCAACTGATACATTTCTGTGATAGGCCTGACCATATTTTTGTTTGGAATAACATGGACTTTGGTATTTAGGGTTAGGAAAGCAGTGGAATGCTTTAAGCACTGCTTAAAGGTGCACACTAGTAGGAGCTTGGAAGACATTGGTGCTGATGATTTGAAGTGTTGGGGAGTTGGCTCAAGAGGTTTCAGATGTAGCACAATTAATTTAAAAAAAACCCAGAGACAGAAATTGGGGTTCAACCTGAAGGCCAGAAAAGCAAAACAGCCAGCCACTGGCTCTTACCTCTGCCTCAGTGGGTAGAGCACGAGACTCTTAATCTCAAGGTCGTGGGTTCGAGAAGAATTTTAGTAAGTTGCCTAGAAATAGTTCTTGTGATATTTTGGTGAAGAAAGTGACTGCTTTTTGCCCTTGTCTGAGAAGTTTGCCTGAGGCTAAAGTGAAGAGTTTTGGATTAATTCCCTTGTCGGAGGAAATCTCAAAACAGTCTAGTATTGACTCTGTTTTGGGGTTACTAGTGTTAATTCTAATGAAGATATAGAATGAAAACGAGCGAGCTGAGCAAGGAAAAATATTTGAGGGGGGAAAGTATCACAAGAAAGTGGAATGGAGCTAAGTCCTGTGTTCAAGGAGATAAACAGATTAAGAAATGGAATAAAGGGAATGGAGACCTCAGGGCAAGATTCCACCAATTAAATTTGCAACTTGTGAAAAGGAATTTTAAAAAAATTTAGAGCCAGATGTGGGGCTGTATGCCTTTAATTCCAGCACATGGAAGGCAGAGGCTGTCAGATGTCTGAGTTTGAGGCCACCTTGGTTTACAGAGCAAGTTTCAGGACAGCCAAGCTTAGGCAGTGAAAGACAGAAAGCTGGTGAAGATGTAATTGAACAAGGGGGCCATGTTCCAGCTCTAGCAAGCGGCAGAATT